TTGCATAGCTGTTTGCATAATGCAAAACAAAGTCAGTACAGTTTTTGTATATATACACGCAGGTAATAAAAACATACTACATACTGTAACAAAATATTCACCATATGAAATTAATATATGAAAAACCCATGATTTTAAACATTTTACCTATTTAACTTTATGAATCCCTATATTAAAAAAATCTGTATATGTTTATTACATAAAATGGTAATGAAGCAGGCCATGCCACACTTTATGAAAAATACAACTTAGTATTTTACTTTTCCTTATTCCTAGAGAGAGAGGAAATTCTTCTGTAGCAAGAAGTTTTCTTCAAAGGAGCAGAGCTACTTATATCAACCCTATTTGACAGCAAAATGTACACAATTTTATTCTTATCATCCATCCTATACTGGATTAAAGCCCTGACTGGCTAAGCAGTCCTAGATACATGTTGGGTACAGTGGGAGAAGGTTTATACAGGTAAGATGAGAATTTATGTTATGTGTCTTTGATATAATCTGTATCTCTTAGTAGTCAATGGGGTGGCAGGGGGTAGGCCTGACTAATCACTGAAATTGAAGCCTAATCTCAGTAAGAAATCACACCTGCTAAATAGTAAATCCAACTAATTTCCTTCTGAGTTCAAACTAGGTGTTGAGAACCCTTCAAAAGTGGTACCAAAGTGCTGATGTCCATTTCTTCACTGTGGAAGAAAGAAAAGGGATATGGAATGAATTTCAACTGTGACTCTCAAATGTCTGAGGACATACAACCCATATGCCTTTATCTACTAACATAGTTATGAGGGATACGGTGGAATATGAAACAGAATCCCTGCCCTCAAAGAGCACACAGCCCAGTATGGGATTTCGCCTGTAAATACGAATCTGAAATACAGTCGTATGTGTTACAACAAGCCTAAGTGCAGGCTGGAGGGGAAGCACACAAAAGGGGTAGCTCCTCTACTTGGGAAGGATTCAGAAAGTTTTCATGCAGGAAGAGAGAACTCAATGAGGACATAAAAGATTAGTAAAAGCTAGTAATGTGAAGAAAGTTGGGGGTTAGGAAGAGTATTCTAGGCAGAGAAAAGAACACCTGCAAAGGTTCAGAGGCGACACAGAGCATGGTGTTCTCAAGAGCTCCAATCAGTTGGTAGGTGAATGCTTAAGGAGATGAGTTTTGAGATGAAAGGCTACAGAGTTGGAGGGGAGGAAGGGAGATCAAAGAACAGTCTCCGAAATCTGTGCTTCTCAAACTTTAATGTCCCTAGTAATTGCCTGGGAATTTTGTTAAAATGCAGACTCTGATCCAGCAGGTCTGGCATGGGGCCTGATATTCTAGAGCAGTTGCTTCAAGTGCCCAGGTGATACTAATGTTGCTGCTGATCACACATTTTGAGAAGCAAGGCTGTTAAGTCCTATTAAGAAACCTGTATCTATCCAGAGGATGATGGGCAAACCACCGAATGGATTTTAACAGCAAGAAGGACACAAAAAGATTTGAATGCCAGTGTCTTTTGAGGAATGGACAGCCTGAGACTGGAAGCTGAGAGAGCAACTGTGAGATAGCAGCTGTGGCCCAAGTGCGCGAAGACAGCGGCCGAGACACCAGCAATGAAAACAAAAGGGAAGGAGGCAGGTACCAGAGACGCTTAGGAATTAAGACTTAGTGGAAGAGTGGCCAAGAGGCAGAGGGATGGGAAGGAGTCAAGAAAATGAAACCCAACACTCTACTATGAGCGAATGGGTGATGGTGGTGCCTTTACTGATCTAGGGAATAGAGGTGGAATAGATCTAAGGGAAAAGAGATGGATTCAGTCTGGGCCATCCAAGTGAAGATGCCCAGCAAGCACAGGTTGGACGACTGTTCTGTAACTGGGGCTGGGTTGAAGACGGATTTCAGAATTATCAACCTTTAGATAGTATTTGAAGCTGTGGAGGCACATAAACTTGCATAGGAAGACAGGGCAGTGTGGGGAGAGTAGGGGACCTACACAGAATAGTTGGTTGCCATAGGCTGTTAATCTTAAAGGGAAAAAGACCATTTCTTTTCTTAAATTTTCGCTGAATATTTAAAAATAGATCTGCTAAAGGAGTAATGTGATGATTGTATGGTTCATAATGAGTAAACTTGTAGCTGGCATTTACAATCCACCTGTCTCATATAGACAAAAAAGCCTCAAGATTTTCTTAAAGCAGTTTCAAGGAAAATAGTGGATTCCGGATTTTCAGGGACCTAAGCAAATGATGCCTTTCGTTTACCAGATGGTGCAACTCCAGCCTTCTTGTGGAATTGTTTTCTTAGCATTCTTCCAAATTTAGTATTCAATATTTTTTGTGTTTGCAATTAAATATACATAAGAAATAGAATGCCTACATTTACAAATGGGCAACTTCAGTTATCATTTGTTCAAGCTCACAGACCATAATAAGGGGAGTCTGAACTCTGAAACTTCATTGCTATGTGACTTTGGGCATGTTACTGATAATCTCTCTGAATCCGTTTCCTCATGTATAAAAAGAGAGATGAGGGGCACCTGGGTGGCTCAGTCAGTTAAGCCTCCCACTTTGGCTCAGGTTGTGATCTCATAGTTCCTGGGTTCGAGCCCTGCATTGGGGGCACATCGGGCTCTGTGTTGACATCTCGGAGCCTGGAGCCTACTTCAGATTCTGTGTCTTCCTCTCTCTCTCTGCCTCTCCCCTGCTCGTGCTCTTTCTCAAAAATAAAATAAACATGAAAAAAACTGAAAAAAAAAGATGACATCTTACTAAAACCTGTACAGGGTCAGGAACTAGAAGGTGCTATGAAATGAGGTATTTGAGGCTTCTGTCTTCCTCATTTTGTTTGGATACAGAATCAAGTGTGGTACAAGGGGCCTAAAGTCCCAGATGGACACTATGGACAAAGAGAAGAGGCTCAGAATATTTTGGGATCAGGTCTCTTGGCATCTGCTATAATCTATGATACTATGAAACTTGTCAGCACCTACTGACCCAGCTATGGTTGCTCCAAAAACCTTTCCTGCTTCTAATTCTTGGAAGAACCGTAGGAGGATCCTAAGGTATGTTTCTAAGCTTCTCTTGGTGTCTGGAGAGGAGAAAATGAAGGAGAGAATCAGATGAAGTTGGAAGGTCCCCATGACCTGAGATGAGAGGTCTCAGTTTCAAGAGCCTGCTCCTCACAGCTGTCCCTGGTTTAAAAAGGGCACTTTTCCGAACTGAAAAGCAATACCAAGTCTTGCCGGCCAACCCACATGGTCATCGGGGTTAACTGAGCACACAGACCTGTGCAGGTTATGTCACCAACGGTTACTCTGAAGGTGAAAGTGGGTACGTGTATTTGCACATCGGATCTTTCACATTCATAAACCGGGATGTTCTTGGTCTTCATGCCGTATTCGTGTAATACTTGAATCGGTGTTTTCCCTGGCTTAGCTGTAATCATCTTCCCCAAACTGCAAAAACCAGAAAAGGTGTGCCTTGCATGCCAAAGCGGAGAGGGAAGCAGAAGCATACAGAGGCTAGATTTGACTGCTACCAACAGTGATGCAGGAGGCGCCGAAGCTCCCCTGCGGCCAGCACCAGCGATGGCGAAGCGCACCAGTCTCCCAGCCCCGCTGCGGCGGGCAACCGGCAGGGTGAAAGGGGCTGTAAGGAGACAACTTAAAAGCGGGTGGGGAGGATTCGCTCGGGTCTTGGGTGCTGTTACCGCTCAGGACCAACCCCACATAAACCCCCTCCCGGGCGGCAGCCGCGGGCCATCTCCGCCCACCCCGCGCGCGCACCGAGACCGCAAGCGGGGCGGGGCCAGGCCGCAGACCCCGGCCCGCGCGCCGCCGGGAGGGCGGAGCCGAGTGCCGGCGGGTCCGCCCGCAGCCGCGCGGCCGAAAGCGCCGGGAGGGAGCTCTACCCAGAATGCCGCTGGAAAGCGGGCTCTCCCGCCCCGCCTCTTGTGCCCACCACTCCCGGCCCTGCCCGGCTCGGCCCCGACCGTTCGGGCGCTGACCTGAAGGTCCCGCTGTCCTCCCGCTCCAGCGGCGGGGCCGCAGCCCGATGCCTGCTCTGGGACATAGCGAAGAAAGGACGGTCTGGCGGCAGGCGGAAGAGCGGTGCCGAGCGACGTCCTCGCTCCCCGGGTCAGCCGGTCCCCGAGAGGAGCGCTCCAGCGGTGCCGCCTCCTCCGACTCCCCCTTCCCTCCCGGCTTGCGTCCCTCTTGCGAAGGGGACGGGCGAAGGCGGAGCCTCGGTGCAGCAGCGCCGGCCACGCCCCCTCGCTGTCTAGGCTGCGGGTCTTACTCTAAGGTGGGCCCCGCCTGCCGGTTCGCGGGTCTCCTGGGCGTCCTTCCCGCCCCTTTTCTTTCAGACTCCGCCCCTCTCTCGGTCCCGCTCTGTCCCGCTCGCTCCCGTCGGTACCCTGCTGTAGTCCCGCGGCTCCTGGGTGCTCGTTTCTCCGCTCCCCCCATGGCCTTGAGGAGGCCGCAGTTTTGTGTCCTTAAACGGGCGGTTTCCGGCCCGGAGAGGCGGCTTGTCGGTCGGCGAGCCTCACACTATGTGAGGACTGAGCTCAGCATCCTTGGTGGTGGGGCTGGGGGAAGTTAAGAATTGTGGTTGCGTCACCTTATGAAAAAGATTTCAAAATTCTAAATGCAAAATTGCTACGGAGCGTCCCCGGGCCTGGCCCCTAAGCTTGCGATTCGCGGTCTATCCGCCCCTGAGGGCTTCGGTGGGCTCTCCCGATTCGAGGCCTGCCTGGAGGAGCTTTCAGGAATGTCCGGAGACCCCCTCCCGCCGGGTAGTCTCCATTGTCTCTAGGCTTTCGTCTGGAGAGGAATGCGGGGCCGGCGAATTTGAGCAAGGCCCGTTAGGTGTAAACGAAGGCTTTTGTGTGGGCTCCAATTAAATGCTGTTTCTGCACACCTGTGTTGCTAGTCGTAATTGCGATCGCCTGGGATGCACCGCCTTTGGTGGAGATCAGAGAGCGACGGTGGAAGTGTCGCTTAGGGGTTTGCTAGGCACTTGGGAAATGACTCCCTGTGCTTTCTCTGTGTTGAAGATTGCACTATGCTTTTCACACAAAGGAACATTATTAAAAACTTTTTCTTTTTGGTTTTGTTGGGTTTTTGTTTGTTTTTTGGTTACATGTGAGCCCTGGATGCTTGAAAGCAAATGAAAAGTGTTTAGGATCTAATCAAATTGATTTATATTATTTGAGGCTTGAATTAAGTCTATTCTGTCTTCCACTATCCCTTCTGTATATGTATGTATAGCGATTACTACTACTGTTAGGTTTTAATGAGTATCTTACCATAAATATACATAGCCACTATTTCAAAATATATTAACATCCACAAAATTAGGGCAATACAATATTTCAGCACTCAGATTTGTTCCTAAAACTTCTTTTTGGCCATGATATCCTAAGCCCAAACTTTATTCAGCTCTCTTTAAGGGTTGAGTAACAGATAATGATGATGAAACAAAATAAACGCAGTGCTATTTCAGAGTTGTCTATGTGCCAGCCACAGAGTGAGAAACCCCTAAGTTGTAGTTTCTAGTTATTTATATACATGTTAGAATTCTAGTTATTTATGCATATATTATATATATTTGTACATATATTTATGCATATATACAAATAACAAACTTTCATTTGTTATTTTAGTTGTCTGCCTACAGTTGCTTCCCTATATTCAATGAATTTATATTAATTACTTGGTTTTGTAGCATACAAGAAAGAAAATGAGTGAACTGTATACCATAAGGATTCAAAATAGCACCTTACTATTGCCAACATTGGCATGGCAAACTTGTGAAGGAATTCCCTTTGGACTAGGTCCACTAAAAATGGTGTCCAGGGCTAAGGTGAGTGCCTAAACTGCCTTTTTCCCAGAGGACTAGATGTTTCCTCAAAACTGGCAAACTACTATCAACAGTAACCCTCATCAAGGACTTTGGTAGTATTTTTAAATGATTAGTTTTCTGTGTATATTTTAGTGCTTATAGACCGCAATTCCAAATTGACTGCTTTCAGTATATCATTTTACGCGGTTGATCTATAATTCATTACCTGAGCACACCAGGGGAGGCAGTGTTGTGAACTGTAACTGGTAAGCTACTTGGTGAAACCAGGCTTTGTATTTTTAATGTGTTTAATTATACTTAAAATCAAGGAAGGCTTAGGGTTGTGCCTGGTTTTCTTTGAAAATATGGATTTGTTATCTAAGGGTTGCAGTTGATGACGTTTTGATGTCGTATTAATATGTTTGCTGCTGCTACCAAGAGCTTTGTCAAGCAAGTTGGAGATGGAGGGAGATTAGTTCCTGTTCCAAGCCTCAGTGAGGCTGACAAATACCAACCTCTAAGTCTGGTGGTAAAAAAGAAGCGATGCTTTTTCTTTCCCAGATATAAATTTACTTCAACACCTTTTACACTGAAAGATATTCTTCTAGGAGACAGAGAAATTTCAGCTGGTAAGTTTTAATGTCTATTTCAGAGTGACTGCTCATTGGCTATATTACAACAATCTAAACAGGTTGTATGTACTACTTATTTTGTGATATTTACACATTTTCATTGATAAAAGCAACTTATGATAGTAGTAATAAGATTAATAATATCTAAAATTTGTATAGTATCAAATCTTATTGGTTGAATAATTTTCCAACATATTTTGTAAAATCTTTTATTGTATAATTTTATTTCACTTATCTTATAGATTGTTTTGACCAAATAAACTTAGAGTATGACAAAATAGATTATAGATTTCATCTATAAAATGAGATATGACTTGCCTATTTACATGGTCACATGAGATGAAACTAATTTACATTTATTTCTTATGGCTCAGTTATTGCAATTGGTAAACTGAAATGTATCTTATTGTCATGTGTTACTCATTCCCAGTCCACCTTAACTAAAAGTAAATCCAGGCAGGTCTAATACAAATTACAAAGTATGCTCAAAAGCCATTAACAATCTGCCTCTCCTTTCTGTTTTCTTAAAACAGATTAGAAAACAAATTGACATTTTGACAAAGTATTTCTTATAAACACTTGTTTTTCTTTCAACCACTCTGTGGATATTAAAGCTTATAGAGTTCTGTTGGTGGAACGAAGAACTTGAGTTCTCTTTTAAGTACTCTATTTTTGTTGTCAAATTAATGCTATTTTAAATCTTGGCTTGACACGTTGCCTTTCTCAACATGTAACGTGTCTTCTTCTCAACGTGTGATGAAGTCTTACATAGTAAATTAATGCATTACTACATATAACATATTAAATGAATTCAGGACATTTAAAAAATATTGATTTCCTTTTCTTAAAGGTATTTCATCTTATCAGTTACTGAATTATGAAGATGAATCAGATGTTTCACTCTATGGAAGGCGAGGCAACCATATTGTGAATGATGTTGGGATTAATGTCACTGGATCAGATTCTGTTGCAGTGAAAGCTTCATTTGGTGTGGTGACCAAACATGAAGTGGAAGTATCGACATTACTCAAGGAAATTACTACACGGTCAGTAGAATAATACTTAATGTACTTGAGTGTTTACATAATTACGATATTTAATGAAAACTTCGTTATAAACAATGCTTAAAACATTCAGGTTCTGTATATTGTCTAATGTAATTTAATTCTTTCATTTGACTGAAATACTACAAATTAGCAATATATCCAGGCTTTAGATAAGGGTGGATATCCAAAATCATTTGGTTTAAACAGAATTTTTGATTGTTCCACAGAATTGCTTTGGTCCTAAATTGGTCCAAAATTGCTTTGGTGCCAAATTATCAGATGAAAAGAATGTACTAATCTGCATGCAACAAATCTACTAAGGGGGTCTCCTCCAACAGAATCCTATAATAAGCATGTTTTAAGAAAACAGAAAGGAGAGGCAGATTATTAATGGCTTTTGAGCATACTTTGTAATTTGTATTAGACCTGCCTGGATTTACTTTTGGTTAAGGTGGACTGGGAATGAGTAACACATGACAGCAAAAATGTACTTGATGATATGTAATTAGATGTGACAGGTTCTTGTGAATCTTTTTTTTTTTTTTTTCAGAAAAATTAATTTTGACCACAGCTTGATACGTCAGACAAAAAGCAGCAGAAAGGCAGTATTGTGTGTGGTCATGGAAAGCATTCGAACCACACGACAGTGCTCGCTGTCTGTGCATGCTGGAATTCGTGGGGAAGCCATGCGGGTAAACCACACTCATTAAGTTTCTCTTACTAAAAAGCTGCAATGGGAATTTTTACATAGTACTCAATTTCTAATGAGACATGTGTATTTTGTCAAATGTTGAGATTAAAGAGCTGCAAGTGTATATAAGATTTTGCACAGTAATGGTTTTGTTTGAGAGTTTTAAAAAAATCCAAGAAAATTTGGATTCTAAATGTGGAACATAATGCAAACAAAACACTAATCCTTATGAAATAACTTACACTGAAGTCTCTCCTATTGCTATTTAAATGAAGTTTTAAGAATGCTTATGTTGAATTCTTGATTTTATTTTTTTATTATTTTTTAATGATTTTTTAAAATGTTTATTTTTGAAAGAGAGAGAACATGAGCAGGGGAGGGGTAGAGAGGGGAACAGAGGATCTGAAGCAGGTTCTGTGCTGACAGCAGAGAGCTCGATGTGGGGCTAGAACCCATGAACCATGAGATCATGACCTGAGCTGAAGTTAGATGCTCAACCGACTGAGCCATCCAGGTGCCCCTTGATTTTATTTTTAACTGATGTACTTTATACTTGAATTTTTAAAAGTTGATTTTATATTTTTATTTTAAGTTTTCTAAAATAACATTGTCAATGGCCAAACATGCCTCATTCAATGTTAAATACTTTTAAAAAACCTCTTGGAACTTGTTTTTAGTTTTTAAAAAGCTCCGTATTATTTGTCTTTGTCATTCACATAATAATGACACATAATAACTTCATTGGTTTTATTAAAACCAATTGTTAGGGTTCAGTGAAAAACTTTTAAGGTCTTTGCAAATAAAGGTTCTGTTCAGTGGCTATGTTTAGCTGCCTACTGAATTGTTTAACATTGGATCATTTCAGGGGCACAAACTGAAACATTTAATTGTCGGAGATAACTTTGGAAAATAAGTTGATGATTGCTTTGGAAAGCTGCTGAAAACTCTGGGGGCTTTAGAACAATAGACAGGGTAGGCTAAAAACAACTGTAGCACTTAAACAGTTGGTTTGTGGTTGAAAAGAAAAGGTTTCTATGTTAGAGAGCATTATTGTTGTAGCACTAAGTGCCAGTGTTAGTGAGAAAGTGGTGAGTGGTATTTCCTAGATCATGAGACCCCATTGGACCACTTGGACCTCTGGTATAAACAGTTAAATTCAATGGGATAATTTGTTTTTAAGTTTGAATTATTTTATTAATTTTATTATTTGTTTTTGAATTTACATCCAAATTAATTAGCATATAGCGCAACAATGATTTCAGGAGTAGATTCCTTAATGCCCTTTACCCATTTAGCCCATCCCCCCTCCCACAACCCCTCCAGTAACTCTCTGTTTGTTCTCCATATTTAAGAGTCTCTTATGTTCTGTCCCCCTCCCTGTTTTTATATTATTTTTGCTTCCCTTCCCTTATGTTCATCTGCTTTGTGCCTTAAAGTCTTCATGAGTGAAGTCATATGATACATGTCTGTCTCTTGACTAATTTCGCTTAGCATAATACCCTCTAGTTCTATCCACATAGTTGCAAATGGCAAGAGTCATTCTTTTTGATTGCCAAGTAGTTTTTGTCTTAATGGTAGGATTGTATGAACTGTTTTCTTTCTCCAAGAAGCTGTCTTTATGTGTTATGCTCCTTAATAATGTTATTTATTTATTTACTGTAGTTTCATTTTATGGATGAACAGAATCCCAAGGGAAGGGACAAAGCTATTGTTTTTCCAGCACACACAACCATAGCTTTCAGTGTTTTTGAACTCTTCGTTTACTTGGATGGTGCCTTTGGTAAGTGAATGATTTGCACGAAACGCTGAAATGATTTTATTTTTAAGAATTTAATGGGAAACACACACATATATTCTCTATGTGACTGTAGAAGAATGATACTCTCAACACTGTCAATCATATGCTTGGGTAAAGTAGCTGGGAAAGACCCTCTGTCTTTATTCACCCACTACCTCTTTTCTGCCTGGTGAAAGCTGCAGACACCCCCCACCCAACTTGCAATTATAGATAAGAGCTCAAGTGCAATGCCATTGGCAAAGTATTCCTTGAGTTACATAGAGAGATAATAAATGACCTTCTAATAAGTAGTTTTTGATGATGGCAAATAGAGGAGTGGGTAGACAAGATGCCCGCAGGGGTCAGTGCCCAAACTAGGGTACCCAAAGACAAATTCTTTTCAGTTTTACCTACCATAGACCAGCTTCACCCCGACTCTCTCTAAAAAATAACTTTAATACAAATATTTGCCTTAAAATTGTCTTTATATACTTTATACAATACTTTATATACCTTACATGATACCTCAGTGCAGTTCACTGTAGACCGCTAAATTTCACAGGTCTTTAAGATTAGGAGGCCAACCAGCTCAAAGCACTAGGCGAGGGAGCCCCCTAACCATGGTAATTTATAAACATTTGTAGACCTGTTTTTGTTTTTGCAGTTCTGTGGGAAGAGGGAATAGGGAATCCAGAAATGTGACAAAACATGCTACTTACAGCCTATTTGGGACGCTTCAGATGTAGGTTTTTACCGTTATTGTGATTGTTAGGAGCTGTGTCAAATGATAGAACTGATATATCCATCAAAATGTAAAATGTGCACATCCTACACTTTTAGGAATTTATCCTACAGATATACATATGCAAAGTGATATAAGGATATTCAATTTGTAATAGCAAAAGATTGGAAATACCCTTAAGATCTACGATCAATAACTAGTTTAATAATGATGCATATCCACAATACAGAACATTATGAAACCATTAAGAAGAATGACGTAGCACTAGGGACCCTGACATGGAATCCTAAGAGATATTTTAAATAAATGTGTGTAGTGTTTAACTATTTGAGCCTAAACAATTTTATGTGCATACATACATACATACATACATGTATATTCCTTTATGCTTGTAAAATATATGGAGTATTTGTGGAAGTATACTCAAGAAATTTAACAGTGGTTACTTCTGAGGTAGAAAACTGAGGCTGGGATCCAGACTAGATGGAAACTCATCACTGTATCCCCCTTTTGTTCTCTGGATTTTGTACCATGTGAATGTTAGCTTTTCCAAAAATATAGAAAATTTAACTTAAAAAATACAGTGAATGACATGTGCCAGAATTCATCAACCACAACTAAAACTCCCAATAAAATGTGAGTTGTTCCAGTAATAACATCTAAAAATTTTCTTACAGACCTTTGTGTCACTTCAGTGTCAAAAGGAGGTTTTGAAAGGGAAGAAACTGCAACGTTTGCGCTGCTCTACAGATTGAGGAATATACTATTTGAGAGAAGTATGTCCGTTGAAAAGTATTTCAATTTTTTTTTTTCCTTCTCAGATTAACACTTGAGTTTATCTGTTCAGTACTCCTGTCTGCTAAGGAAGAATTACAATCTAAAAGTAAAATCATTTCATGACTGATGGTTTAGATTCACGTATTTATAAATGCACTTTGGTTATATATTTTTTATTTGACCTGTAACACATTTCTGTTTTTGTGCTTTTAGACAGAAGAGTGATGGATGCCATTTCTCGTTCACAGCTTTACTTAGATGATCTTTTTTCTGACTACTATGACAAACCTCTAGGCATGACTGATATTTCTCTCAAAGAAGGGACTCATATCCGAGTTAACTTACTTAATCACAACATTCCAAAAGGACCTTGCATACTCTGTGGAATGGGGAACTTCAAAAGGGAGACAGTTTATGGGTGCTTTCAGTGCTCCGTCGATGGGCAGAAGTATGTGAGACTTCATGCAGTTCCTTGTTTTGATGTTTGGCACAAGAGGATGAAATAAAACAAAAATAATGAGCGTACCTTGGTAGTGTTTTAGGTGCACCTGTGCCACACACCTTTCCAAAATTTTCTAGGTTTGCTTTGATGAATTGTGGCAAAGTAAAGAGGGAGAGGAAAGAGAAATTAACCTGTTTGGGCATCATTTTCTTCATCGATAAAAGGGAAGATAATAGTTTCTATCCTATAAATTGCCATAAAGGTTAATATTGTTTATGTGAAAAAGGTTTAAATATTCAAAACATAGCGATTCCTTCATAAAATCTGCCAGTTACTTTAGAAGTATACTTGGGAATTCAGTCTATCATCTTAACTTTACACAGCGATTTTTCTCAATATCAATTTTAGTTTTAATTGGCTTTTAAGTCAACATTTAAGAATGACAAGAGGTTAAATGTGGTGACTTTATGGTGCCTTACCCACTGCCTTAGGTCTGGTAAAATGAGAAAAATGTGTTAATAATTTAATGTAATCCTAAATATTTAATTGCGGTATCAAATTAAAAGCACACTGAGCTCAGTGTGGGGTTTTGTGTACACAGTTAACAGGGAGACTGTTAGTGGTAATGGGCTGCTGTCCTGTATCATGCACATGTTCCCTAGTTTTGTCTTTATAAAAACTCACTGCTGTCAAGGTAAGGCAGCTAGAAAAAAAAATAGTTAAGGCAACTAGGACACCTTTATCTTTCACCTTTGAAAATGTTTAAAATATTTAACATATTTAGTTCTGAGAGCTCATTTTCATCTACTCTGTAAGACATCTGAAATTTTTCATACACAGACAACCTAAATTATTAATTTACTCAACACCCTCATTAAAATAATTGCAAAAGTGATATTAAAATTCTAGAACTCAAAATGTAGTGATACTAGGTATCTACTCGTATATGCCTGTGAAAGCATAAAACAATCATGGAAATATAAAACATCTGATGCCTGTCTGCACGTAGAATGATTAAAATGTTACTGTTTACTTAAATGTGACTAGGGTTTTTGAATCAATCTTCATTTAATATCATCTATAAATTTTAAAAACATAAGTTTAAAAGCACTTTGAAAACAATGGGACAGGATAGAATTGTGAATAGTTTGTATAAAGGGATGATTTCCTTGTATATCTTCCTTCCACAGTATTTTTGTTTTGAGCAGAATATGTGAGTCAAGTGCAAATACGAGTATACTGATGGCAAAATATTCTAGTGACTTTTTTTGTATGGATATAGATAATGGGAGTCGTTTCCAATGGAGGTTTTCCTGAGGGAAGTCAAAGAACAAGAATTCGCAATTAGCAAGTAAAGAGTTTACAAAACTGGGTACAGGCATGAAGAACTGGGAGGAAAAGAAGACAGTGAAGGTTTTGGTTTTATGAAGTGTCAAACTCTGTGCTATATATCTGTGATATCCATTAATCTGGTGATTTTTGTGTTACCCCTGCACTTTTAGGTAATAGAATTTCTGGCAGTGTATCGATGGTTTGGAAAGGGCAAGTTTCAGAAAATGGAAAAAGCTTTGTTTTGAACTCACATGTCTTGAGCAGAGCTATTTACTTCCTGACCATACCTTCCTACATATGCAGTAGGCAAAACCTTACATGTTCCGATAAATAATGTGCCCTTTCTTTGGCACCAGTGTGATCTTCTACAGCATCTCTTACCTCCTGTTCTCAACAAATTGGATGTCATGATTTGACTGTGACACGGAATTGCCATGGCAGTGTATGTTCCCATTTGTATCCTCATTTGATATCCTCACGTATCCTTATGTGTAAAATAAATTCTACACATTTTCAAAAATTTGATGGCATATGAGTTTGTAATGCTCATTCATGATCAATAACAAGAACATTGTAAAATGATGTGATTGACATAGGATAGAGACACATAGAGAAAGGGAACTGGAAACTAGATGCCATGGCATCAATTTAAGACTATCAAGACAAAACATTAGGGATGATAGATCTAAAGGCCTACAGGAGGCCAGAGGAAATAACACATTTATAATGATGTCTGAAAAAGTACAGACTCAGAGCAGTATAGACTTTATTATGTCTGCTATAAGAGACACAGTCTTTGGTCTGATCAAATACCTTTAAACATTCCCCACTGGAATAATGACCCAAGGCCAGAGCTTGCACCAAACAGTACAGCGACGGTGTTAAGGCTCTCTGTGGGACAGAATTGTACAAGTAATATTTTCCTATATGCATACCAAAGGAAGATTTGTTCAGTCCTGTCATTTAAAAAAAATTTTTTTTTAATGTTTATTTATTTTTGAGAGAGAGTGTGAGCAGGGGAGGGGGCAGAGAGAGAGGGAGACAGGATCTGCAGCAGGCTCTGAGCTGTCAGCACAGAGCCCAACACAGGGCTCGAACTCACAAACAGCGAGATCATGCCCTGAGCCGAAGCCGGTCGCTTAACCGACTGAGCCACCCAGGCGCCCTAGTCCTGTCATTTTTATATTATCCTTTCATTTGTAATGCTATGAAATGTATCAGCAAGTGAAATGTTAATTCCTGGGTCCTTATTGAATATTTTAAAAATTGGATATGTATACATGTTATTAAAGTTAGAACTGGGAAGAACCTCATCAATTTTGACATAGGTGTTCTCCTATCTCCTGAAGGGGGAGAACTGCCTACTGGAACAAAGAGGTCTATTTCATGGTGCCACTATTCATGTTCACAGGATAAAGCAACCGGAAACAGAATTATCTTTCCTGAAAGTTAAATCTGCAAAATAACACATTTATTATGCCAAAATTACATGTATTGAGGGGATCAAAATATGTTCTCATGGAGGGAAAACAGAAAATACAAGTTCTAGAAAAGTAACTCTTTTATATATAAAGTACAGGAAGTAGCTAAGAAAATTTAGAAATAAAATACACTATAGTTCATCATGTTGATATACATTGTATTCCTTGGAAGAAATGAAGCCATCACCATCATGATCATTCTTCTTAAAAATATCTTCTAAAACTGCATTCTGATATGACTGGTCACGAGGCTTCTCATCTTTTTCAAATTCCCTTTTCAGGTAATTATTTATCTAGAGGGCCAAAATATGTCTTTAATAAAAAAGTACCACAGTAAATATCCAGTAACTTTAAGGAAATGTTTACGTAAGGAGACTGAAATCTACTTATAATAAGTGATAAAAAATTGTTAAAAGCTATTTGAGGTTTTATTTTTTAACCTTTAAAGCAATTTTCTGAAAAGAAACATCTTCAAATTAGCTTCCCCTGAGGTTATAGATGTTAGTTGTACATACCCAAAGATTAACATCAGAATTGAATTTTGTTGAAACTTAAGTGTTTTCTAGTAATCTACACTGTCCACATTATGAAAGGAAAATCATCCTTAAGGATTTCTATTAGTGAATAAAATCCAAATTGGCATTTTTATAATCTCTAAAATTAATGAATATATTCTATTATCAATAAAACTCACCCATAATTTTTGAAATAAAATTTAATTTTCTTAATTTTTCTATGTTTCTATAACTCTCCTTCAAATCCATACATATGACAATCTCTATATAATAATGTCAAATAAAGAACAGATATTCTTTTTTTTCTATGTTTATTTTGAGAGAGAGAGAGAGAGAGCACATGAGCAGGGGAGGGGCAGAGAGAGAGGGAGAGAGAATATCCCAAGCAGGCTCCACACTGACAGCACGGAGGTGACATGGGGTTCGATCTCATGAACCATGAGATCATGACCTGAGCCGAAATCAACAGTTGAACACTCAACCGACTGAGCCACCCAGGTGCCCCTGAAGAAAAGGTATTCTTAAGTATTCTTTCTCTGTATAATATGACATTTCTACTAGCCACATGTGACTACTAAGCACTTGAAATGTGGCTAGATCAAATTGAGATATGCTACTACTATAAGGGTAAAATACACAACAAATTTTGAAGACAACAAAAAATATCTCACTGATTATTTTTGATTTCATGTTGAAGTGGAAATATTTTAGATATACTGAGTTAGACAAAACATACTATTAAAATTAATTTCACCTGTTTATTTTTGTTTTTTAAGATGTGGCTACTAAAAGTGTTTAAATTATGTACATGACTTGTGGCACACAGGTGGCTCAGTCGGTTAAGCATACCACTCTTAATCTCGGTTCAGGTCATGATCTCACAGTTCATGGGATCTAGCCTCACGTTGGGTTGTGCACTAACGGTGTGGAGCCTGCTTGGGATTCTCTCTCTTCCTCTCTCACTGTCTCCCTGCCCACCTCCCCCCACCCCAAGCTGTCTTTCAAAATAAACTCAGAAAAAATAAATTATATATGTGACTCAATTGTATTTCCACTGGCAAGTGCTAATTTATATAGTAACTATAGAAAGCAGTGTGTAATAATCTGGAGATAATGTCCAGCAAGGCTGGGCACTTTAAAAAAAAATTTAATGTTTATTTTTGAGACAGAGACAGAGCATGAGCAAGGGAGGGGCAGAGACAGAGGGAGACACAGAATCCTTAGCAGGCTACAGGCTCTAAGCTGTCAGCACAGAGCCCGATGAGGGGCTTGAACTCATGAACCATGAGATCATGACCTGAGCTGAAGTCAGGCATTTAACCCACTGAGCCACCCAGGCATCCCAAGGCTGGGCATTTTAGAGGAAAGACTATTTTTGAAAGCTAAAGTTAAACTCTGAGAGGTATTTAGCAGTACAGATCCCAACTCAATCCATCATGAGTAGACTTTATTTTAGAATGATCAATGGATCTTAATGAAGTATATATAAACTGTTCTCAAATGGGACTTAAGTCCTATTGAGGGAGATACATTTTTATTCCAGTTGAGCCTCAGCAATCCTATGAAGGTGAAAAGAATTTTAAAGAACCTCAAATCTTCCTCAGTTTCTAAGTAAATATACTGACCCTCAAAATGTACTTTTCTAGTACACTGTAGTGGCGAGGTACAAAATGGCAGTGGGTAAGAACATAACCTTAATGTAGTGTATTCCCCTTCTCTCCCACCTTATACTAAGGAAATAATTGACACAATCTGATGATGAAGGGAGGAAGTTTCTTTTAGTTCATATTTCAAATCCTGGTTTTGTCATATACTGGTTGTGTGGTCTTGAACAGATAACGTCTTTGAACCTCAATTCTGTCATCTGTAGAAGGAGGGAAACAGTACCTTTATGGTAGGATTGATGTAAGGATTAGAGTAATATTTATAGATGTCAATAAAAGATAGCTATTGTTATTCAAGCATGTGAAAATCACTCTGACCATCTAGTGATAATGCAGGCGATACCTGAGAGACATCTGGGCAGATGGTAGCTAAGCAGGTCACTGTTTTTGGACTTTCTCTACTTTTATTTTCCCGAAAAAACTAAAGATCTCATAAGGTCTCCTGAGGGAGTGTTCATACCGCAGAACATGCCTTTTTGGGTGCAGTTGATAATGAATGGTCTGTGTGCATAGGCTGAGCTCTTGGGTCCCATGTGAATTCATCTGCTGCTGTTCACTCTACAAGTCATACGGAGTCAACGCAAAGCACATACTGGGATGAATTTTCCAGCCCTCTAATTGTCCTCCTTCTTCAGGAATGGGGTATGTTCACATTCACATATTCCTCTTCCACTGGTGAGCAGCAAAGGACCTTTAGGAAAAGGTCCTTGCTAATACCCTGGAGGAGGAAGTAGCATCAGGGTGGGGGAAGGACTAGGGATGGAGAGGAAAAAAAAAAAAAAAAACCCGAGAAAGGGGGCTTACTTGTCTCCTGAAATCAATGACTCAGGTAGCTTTTATCACTTAGGTGGTAGAGCCATGCCTGTTAAACTGTTTTCAAACAAGAGGGCAGACAATTGGGTTACTCAATTTAAGGCAAAAGGGTATAGTCAGTGAGACTAGGTAAGGCACCAGTCTTCAAGAGTACAAACACTAGCCCTGAAACATCTGTGCTGGAAATTCCCTGAAAGAGGCAGGTTAGGCCATGGTTAAGAGCACAGAAGTAGAGCCAGACTGCTGAGCTGCAATCTGAAGTCACTTACAGTGGTGTGACCTTAGCCAGTTCCTCGACATCATTTCCCCCTTCTCTAAATAGAGATAATGACAGGTGTCTACCTCATAAGTTGTCATAAAGATGATGCTTGCTAGCCCTTTTCAGAATTTCATGTAATCCCCACAATCCTGTGAGGTAGAAATTATTTGCCCTGTTCCAAATTCCTATGGTGGTGCTTGAATGAGATTTGTTCCTGTAGTCTAGAAACTGGGGATGCCCTGTAGAAATTAGCTTGGTATTTTAATGACCCTCTGGCAGGGAGAAAGGCAGCTGAACAGGATGACTCAGTTACAAGTTTTATACTCAAAAAGCACATTTTCTTCTTGGAGCTTAGAGTTTTTAGTAACCAGCTCTATTTTGTTTCAAAGTTTATTTATTTTGAGAGAGAGAGAGCAGGGGAGGGACAGAGAGAAAGGGAGAGAGAGAATCCCAAGTAGGCTCCTCTCTGTCAGCACGGAGCCCCATGTGGTGCTCAAACCCACGAACTATGAGATCGTGACCTGAGCTGAAATCAAAAGTTGGATGCTTAACCAACTGAGCAACCCAGTGGCCCCTTAGTAATCAGCTCTATTAAAAGCAATGTAATCAGCCCATGCTTGGTAGAGCTACAAAATGACAGCTGTAACATGGATGTCTTTAAATTGTGATTGAAAAAACGAGACTGTACACGTGGAACTTAGTTTGAATTACCTCAGTTTTAGAGAGTTGCCTATCATTGTCCATGTCTATCTGTTTAAATGTTTCAATGCTTCGTGGTCCTTTGGTCACAGCATAAAGTTCAATCTCAAAAATCAATGTTGCATCAGGTGGAATCTTGCCTTCTGCTAAAGGTATAATTTTTAACAGTTTAACTGATGAAGATAAAGTTCACATATTTATTCACAAGTAGCCATTATAACATCATGATTATATTATTTCATATTTATAAAAACTACCTACTTGGCTTACTTTTAAGGAGGTATTTTCCATGTTTTTAAACCAAATCAGTTCTAAGGACCTCATGGGCCCTTATTTCCTGGTTAAATTAAAATATAGATTGTGTAATTTTTGTTAATTTACCCCATCATTATACAGGAGGGAGCTGGTGCAGAGAAGAAATAAATGGGCAGAAAAATTTCAAAGTGTAAATCAGTAATCTTTTAAAAAATGATATTGTATAGTTATTTGAAAGCATAAATAAAACATTTTTCCATAGACTTATCTTTCCACTCCTTTACAGACATCAAAACATAAGTGCAATGACAGAATAATCCAGTAACAATTTTATGAAACAATTTCTAATCATAATAAAGAATTTTAAGTATTAAGTTAAGTAGTTCTCTTTAATAAAGTTAACCTATTAACTGATATCACAGATGATTTTAACAACCTATGAGCTATTTCAGATGACTGTTTCATAAAAATAACCTACTGAAATGACTTGCTAAGAGGCAGCAGTTAGCTTGTGTCACCAAGATATTCCAGAGTCTACCAGGGTCTCATCCATTATAGGCACTCAAATATTTGTTGAATGAATGATCCCTCTGGTTTATTTTTAAAATGGCTATTTGTTCTTTGAAGGAAATAGTGATTTCTTTAATGAAACAGTGAAGAATTCTTGCTAAAGTATTTATATAACCCAAAGAGAAAAGAACTTGAAAGTTATAGCCGAAAGAAGTGAATCAGTCATCTTCAAAGCCAAGACAGAAAAATCTACCTCTGCATCATCACGTGACTAATGAAGTCCCACGTAATATATCACATACCTGACATTAGAGTAAAAGAGCTACAGATTAATTCCATGATCAGTTTTACAAAATCCATTCCTATTCTGTCCAGTTACAATCTCCTTATGACAGGAAAATAACTAATCATAATAATTAAAGATAACCTCAAACACAAATTCAACTTAAGAAAAAATATTGCACGTACATATGAAGTTTCTGAATAGTTCTGCTGTAAAAGCAGAAAATATTGCCACTTAGGTTTTCTCTTACAAAGAAATTAGAGCAGAAAGAAAATGAAAAAGGTAAGTTTGCTATAGAATGACTTGTATTTAGAGAAGCAAATCAAAGACACAGGAGTTAATGTAAAGAATCTATACATACCACATGTACTGTTAATTAAAGTACTAAAAAGTCACATGCATTTCAAGACATGCAAGGGTGCTCTGTGACATGAAGCAAGGATACCGTGCAGAGGGAAGCCTTCTTCAAGTACTACCTAAAATAAAGTTATAGCTGGTGTTAGTAACATAAGTAACTTATGCAAGTAACTTAAAAATGAGTAATAACTTATTTTAAAAAGCTTATTTGATCAAGAAGTTGTTTGTTAAGCAGTTACTTACATCTTCACTACATCTTTTAAGTACTCTAATCCTACATATCAAGCAGGTAACCAGCAGTTAAGTATGCTCCAAAGAACATACTTTTGTTGGGCCTCAGTTTCCTTATGTGTAAAACAAGAGTGTTGGTGGTGTTACTAATGAGATTTATCATTTTTATGTGTACTGGAGAAACCTCAAATTAAATATGAACTAACTTCTTCAAAGTTAAACTTGTGTATCTCTACAGCAGGGGTCTGGTTTATTCATAGCTTAGGCAGCCAGGGTAGTCATTCATAGTTAAGCATAAATTAGTTTCAGAAAAGGAAACCTAAGTGGTCATTTGCTGAGGGGTAAGGGGGCTCAATAGGATGGATGAGCACCTATTGATGAGGGATGTGGTTAAAATGAGATTAAAGAGTCTGAAAGGCATACTCTGCCTATATCATTTTGCCTCGAATTGGCCTTGACCTATGACAATAATTTTGGACAAGTATTGCATTCAGTTTAATTTATCTCCAATTTTTTTTTTTCTCTCCCTCTCCCAGATTCCTCTATGACTAAAAACAGGATATATAAATTATGGTTCCATGGGAGCTATTTTGATGGGACCAAATGATTGGCCAAAAGCATCGAAAATGAAGTTGGAGTTACATGGAACTGTCTCTAGGAGTTTTAAGTCTGGGTCGGCCTTGCACCACTAACCTCTTTCTAGTCCACTTTGGTGCAGTGATCCCCTGCTCTTACTGGAAAGAGGTGAGGGAATTACTACTATTAATGAGGTAACCAAACAGCCTCAAAGAGGTTGTGCCATTTCAATGAAATATTTGGGAGTAATGACAATATCTCATCGTAGAAAACTAATCTTTAATGACTTTCATTATATACTAAGTATTTTAAGTAGGTGGGGTTAGCAAGTGTTCTAAATAGCCTGAGGAAGGAATGATTCTGTCTTCCTAGTCTTTACACGGCAACAGGGAGCAAGGACCTAACTGAGAATGCAAAGTAAAAACTGCCTCTGCCAAGCTGACCATTTTCCCCTTTTAAAAACCGTCCCTCTTTATTTAGCTCCACCTTTAATTTTAGTAATTTAAAAGATTTTCAATTTTCGAAAAATTGATACATATGCATGGTAAAAGATTTAAATAGTACAACATACTACAGGGTAAGAAGAAATCTCGTCACCCTTGACCCTCAGGCTTCCTTCTCAGGAACCCTTAATGTCGTCAGATGACTGTGTATCCTTCCACATATAATCTGTGTAGATACATGATGCATATGTGAAAACGCCCCCCTCACACGTAAGCTCTTTGAGGATAGGAAATTGTTTCTTCTATGTATGTTGCCTTATGCTCAGTGCCTAGAACTGGCCCTGGCAGTTGATGCTCAAGAAATACTTGTTGCATGAATACATTCTATCCCATTTTATTTTTTTTTTTAATTTTTTTTTCAACGTTTTTTATTTATTTTTGGGACAGAGAGAGACAGAGCATGAACGGGGGAGGGGCAGAGAGAGAGGGAGACACAGAATCGGAAACAGGCTCCAGGCTCTGAGCCATCAGCCCAGAGCCTGACGCGGGGCTCGAACTCACGGACCGCGAGATCGTGACCTGGCTGAAGTCGGACGCTTAACCGACTGCGCCACCCAGGCGCCCCTCCCATTTTATTTTTAACATACTAATACATATGGCTCTACTGCATTCTTTTTACTGGCTGCATCATAATCCATTGTATAGATATGCCATAATTTAACTAAAATAATTCCTTATTAATGGATACTCAGGTAGTTTCCAGTCTTTTGCTACCGAATAAAAGTCTGTATGAATGGTTTTTTATATATACCTTTGTGTACATTTCTATAAATGGAGCTATTGGGTCAGAGGATATGTGCTTTTAAATTTTGATAGAAATTGCTAGCAAGGTCACATGATTTATATTCCCAGCAATAAGGCATGAGACTGCTGGTGTTTCCATACCTGTGCCAACTTTTATGCCTTTGATAATCTGATGAGTGAAAATGGTGAATCACTTTGTTTTAATTTCCCTTTAATTATTAATGAAACTAAGTATTGTCATAGATTTACAGGTTATTTGTATTTTTTTGTTAGCGGGCTGCTTGTTTATGAACCTATCCATTTCTAGGGCTAGGTCATTTTTATTATTCGTTAGTAAGAGTCTTCATAATAGTTGCAAACATTTTCCCCATTTACCAGCTCTTCCCAGGTTCTCAGGTCTAATTGTGAGATTTCAAATAAGATATTGAAGCAAGCAGTTCATTTCTTCTACATTTCAAGGCTTCACCTGAATTTGGGTACCAGTGACTGACAGTTGTTATATTCAGATGTTCTTTTTTTCTATGTTCTAGTACTGTCCTTTTACTCTAAAATCATATGTTTCAGTTTCCTGAGTTTTATAAATTTGACTTTGGTACTGCTTACCAAAGGCATATACTATAGACATTTATGTGATAATAAAATAACATATACTAAAATACATAAAAATGACAAAGGCAGAGCCTATAGAATATACAGGATCATTATGAGTACTGCCATTATGTGAGGGAAAGAACTCGCCAGAGATCTGTCTCCCAACAATGTCTTATTTTCATTCTATGTAAAAAGTGGGGACCAAGCTGGTCTGGACTAGATATAGCTAAAGTTTATTGGACCCAACAGTTCTGTAAATATTTCCTCTGTGATGTTTTATTTGTTTGTTTTAGTGATTCAAAAGTTTTTAATTGTGGGATATACATGTAACAAATAGTTACCACTGTCACCATTTTAGGTTCAGTACAGTTAAATACATTCACATTGCTGTGCAACCAATCTCCAGAACTATTTCATCTTGCAAAGCTGAAACTTTACATCTATTAAACAACAACTCCCTATTCCACCCTCTTCTCAGCTCCTTCTTTGAATTTGACTATTCCATGTACCTCATATAAGTGCAATCATACAATATTTGTTTTTGTGATTGGCTTAGTATAATGTACTCAAGGTTCATCCATGTTGTAGCATGTATCAGAATTTCCTACCTTTTTAAGGCTGAATAATATTCCACTGCATGTGTATATATGTTGTTTATCCATTCATCTGTCAATGGATATGGGTTATTTCCACTTTTTGGCTATTGTGAATGGTGCTGCTATGAACATGAGTATACAAATATCTCTTCTAGACCTTGCTTTCAATTCTTTTGGATATATATACCCAAAGCTATGATTTATTTATTTTTTAGCTATGATTTATTTTTAAATATAACTTAAAGATATAAATATTAAAATACTTTACCATAACCTTCCTTTCCATATGCAAATGAAGGGGGTATAATCACTTTTCGCTTCTCTCCAGGGCACATATCCATCATCGCAATGTCTAGGCCTTTTATGACTTGCCCAACACCAAGAACAAACCATTTGGGGTGGCCTTCATTTTGTGTGCGGCTATAGTAAAAAAAAAACAACACTTAGGTAAACTGATTCTAAGATCAGTGAAATCAAACTTTAAAATACATCTGGACATTTAGTTATAATTTAAAATAGGAGTCCTCTCTGACTCTTTTCCCATATTAACACTCATTCTGAACCCCCTGGTGGAGTGTTTGGCTCAAACTTCTTTCATAATAGCCAGAAAGAAGTATGATTTGCCCAAAGCTAGTCATTAGGAACCATCTCATCTTTTTTATTGCCATCTTTGCAGAAATGATTCAACAGTTACTTTTTTAATGGGTCTCTGGCCACTAACTAGCTGCATGGCTTGTCCAAATAACTCATTTAAACTTTCTATGTTTGTTCTAAAAATGACGGTACAGGTTTAGCCTCAAAAAGTCATTTGAACAAAAATTAAAATTTGTATCTTTACTTATTAAATTTATCTATTTTCTTCTAATATTTATTTTATTTTTGAGAGCGAGATATACAGAGTGTGAGCAGAGGAAGGCCAGAGAGACGGAGACACAGAATCTGAAGCAGGCTCCAGGTTCTGAGCTATCAGCACAGAGCCTGACACGGGGCTTGAACTCAGGAACCGCCAGATCATGACCTGAGCCCAAGTTGGATGCTTAACCAATTGAGCCACCCAGGCGCCCCAATCTATTTTCTTCTAAGTACTAAGAACTTTCTCCAACCCTATCTTCATAGGATAATAGCACAGATGAAGAAAAGCCATTCTCCTTCTGAGTAATAAATGATCAATTAAATCAGAGTAGGCAGTGGTGAGATGAGGGAGGAGGTGGGAGAACACAGGGCCCAGAAGACACCAGGGAAGGTTATTGTTGTGGTTTTTTAATACAGTTGCAAAGTGGCCCTCAGCCTGTAAGTGTGTGCCTCTGAAGGCCAGTTAAAATCACTTAAACTACCCTACCTAATACTCTGTAAGGAGACTCCAACATACGGAGAAAAAAAAAAAAAAGTGAACATCCTTACAGACAGCTCCATAACTGACTTCTACAGATCCCAGGGGTGGGGGCGGGGGTCGGTGTCTGGAGGTAGTGTATTTCCGATAATCTCTTGGGCCAACATCATCAATTTAAAAAGTAATAGTTCAATAGGGAACTAAGGCATATCAGTAGGAATCCCCCCCCCCCCCCCCCCCCCCCCCGGCCCCAGGAATACAAGGCTCAAACCTTACTGTTACAAGAACAAACCAATCAACCAACCATTTAGGCTTCTGGTTGGTAGAGAGGGAGGCTAGTTTTCATGTATCAACTGGATGCGGGAGTAGTTCACAGCATTTCCTACCTGCAGTAGAATTTCGAACCGTCTTTAGCCAAGTAGCCGTCGTAATGGGCATTTAGCAGGTCTCCCTTCTTGCTTGTCTTGGAACAGTTTTCTGGACGATGCACAACTTCTATTTTCACTTCCTCTGTGCTCTCCTCTTCCTTTTGTCCCTGAGCTCCCCAAATGCCCCATACATAAAAGAAAACGATTAACCTGAATAAAAACTGCATGATTCCTGAAATTGGCCCCAGATGACAACTGCGTTCCTTCACGCGTGTCACTCGCTTCCAGAGGCAAAGGCAGCCCAGTTCCGACTCGTGGCAGGCATTGTTCTACGTCACAAAGGGCCGGGGGCGGGGCGGCCGATGGCTCCGCCCCCCCCGGGTTGCGCGCTTAGCCTCAGAATTTTCTTCCGTCCGGCGAGGTCCTGTCCCTCTGGTACCCGGCGCTTTAGATGGCTGTCATCAGTCGTTGAAGCAGTACTGAGCACTTGCACCGCTTCTCGTTAAATACGCACATTTTACAGCCGGTTTCCTCAGAGTTCTGTAGTAATGCTCGCATTTCCTAAAATGAAACCGGCAAAAGAAATAAACAGCCTAGGAGTGGGATGTTGTAGCTACAGAATACGGATGTCATTTTTGGGAGTAAAAGGTTTCTCCTCAGATCCCTAGGGAACAGCGGGCATCTGGCGAGGCAGTCTGCTTCTGCGGTGTCCTTGAAAGCACCTTCTCGGGGTGGAGTCATGCCTTAAGAGGTTCCAGGCTAAGCCTCATACAATCTGACCGCCACCTGGTCGCGAGTCAAGAAAGGTGCCGCTGCTCCTCGCTCCTTTAGATGAGTTTCCCAGGAGTCAACTCCCGCGGTTTGGGCGGGGCTGCTAGTTGGCGCTTCTTTCCCCCACCGCTCGGGGGCCGCCGTTCATGTGAGGGCTCGGGGGAGTTGAGGAAAACTCTTGATGGTGACCCTTTTCTTACCATCCACGGTACACAGATGAGAAAATGAAGTAATTTGAGTATTCGGCTTTTCCCCAAAAAACCTAATACGCAGCAGGGATTTGACCAAGTCTGACACAAAACCACCCTTCATCCCACCCCCAAACATTTTAGGATGAAAACTTTCAAACATACAGAAATACTGAATTTTATTACCTCATCGCCGCGGCCTTCCAACCACCACTTGGAGTCTATAGTTAACATGTAACTATATTCGATTTATTATCCATCCATCCATCCATCCAACACCTCACCTTATTTCCAAGGGAATACCCAAAGACTTTTTACCCAAATCAGAAAAGCTTCAGCACAGGCCTGGATTCGGTTCGGGAAAGAGAGGTGTTATTCTATTTGGTGATGCTAAGCAAAAATGCAGCACTGAGCTTGCTTTGCTTAAAGATCCAGCATTTAGTAAACCTGATTATTGTCATTAGGTAAGATGATCATTTCCAAACAGGATTTTTTTAAAATCATAAAAGCTAGGGGAAAGCCCTTATTTCTAGAATAAAATAAATTCCAAAGTTCGGTTCCATGTTTTATATTCTAAATGAAGTAGTGGCTAAGGTTAATTGTCAGCGTGGTGACAGTTCCCCTTGGGGCCCCTCGCGGTTCCTTGCCGGAGGATTTTCAGCGCCACACTGCCTAACTAGGAGATAGTTTCTTGGGCCCCCTGAATGTGAGGGTACGAGGGAAACATAAACGGGTAATCTTTTATTCTCCTGAAACACCACCACCGGAAGGACCTGAGGAAAACCCGAGAGGCCTACGAGACGTAGGGACTTGTGCTCCTGCAGCGAGTCCTCGGGTCGGCCGGGGGCTGCGCGCGCCGCGGAGTCCGCCTGCCGGGCTTAGAGGAGGCTTTAGCCCCGGGGCACGGTCGGTCCGAGCCTCTCCGGGGATTGGGGTGGGGGGGGAGAGGATGTGGGGAGCCCCGGGACCGCCGGCCGAAGGCCAGAGGAAGAATGAGGCGGAGTCAGGTGCCCGGGCTGGAAGGCCAAGGGTGCGCCGCGCCCGCCGGCCCCCTCACGCAGCCTCCGGCACCGCGGCTGGGCTGCAGGCCGCGCCCGCTCTTCCAGCCCCGCCGCCGGGGAGGGGTTTCTTGGGACGAGCCGGCCCCTTTCATCCAGGAAGTGAAAGCGACGTCGGGGTCAATGAAAACAAACGGGGAGCCCGGGGGGAAGGAAGGCGGGCGAGGAGGAGGGAGCGCCGGGGCGCGGGAGGGAACAGCCGTGTGGTGGAAGCGCGAGCGGGAGGCCGGTTGCGGTCGTGATCTTGCCGCCGCCGCGGCTCGCCCGGGGATGTCTGAGCCCGCGCCTCGCGGCCCTCGAGCTCCACGCGGCGGCCGCCGTCCCGGCCTCTAAGGGCCGCCACGTCCCGGCGGCGCGCGCAGGCTGAGGGCGGCTCGGTGCCGGCGGGGTTGCCCGGGGAGGGCCCGGGCGGGCCGGGAGGGGCTGCCCAAGCTCCGCGCCTACCCCAGCACAGCGGCCGGCGCCGGGCCAGGAGGATGCGCGGCGCCGGGCTCTGAAGCATGGAGGGGGTTCTGTACAAGTGGACCAACTATCTCACAGGTCAGAGGGCTCGCGTGCTCCGAGGGCGGCCGGGAGAGGCCGGGTGCTTGGGCGGGTTTAGGTGGGAAGGCTGCGGAAAAGACCGTTCAGGGGCCCCTCCCTCTGCCTGGCCTGCGGTGACCCTCGCACGGAACCGGCCCCTTCTGCTTCCGAGGCTAATCCCTAGCTGAGTCCCGTGTTAGATCTGGCGTCTGTAGGGGACGGTTCGAGACTGCGCACCTTCCTGAGGGTGGGAAGTGCGCTTGACCACTTCTTGGCCCCTGTAATAATACTTGTTTCCTCCTGTAGCTTCCGGGACAATTCCCAGTTACTCTGCCCGTGGTGCTGTCTCCATCCTTATTCACACTTAATTCGGCATTTTGCTAATAACTGAGTTGTCGGTATAGGAATAGAATGGACCTTGTAAGGTCAAGATTTAATTTTAAGAAATCTTTTTTGTATTTCTTTTTAATTTCCTTAGCAACACGGTTTACTTTAAAAGTTCTCTTGTTGAAGTTGTTCAGCATAGAAAGCATGGTTTTCTGGGAAATCGTCCCCAGATACCATTCTCTTAAAAGGTGGTTGGCAATGAGATATCTTTATATTTTGGAATTCAGGTAAGTGTGTGAGAAATAGTGGAAGACAGTGCAACACACAGAAGTGGAAAAGGCAGGTCAGCATCACCCATGAAGTGGGTTGAAAGGAAAGACTCTGAAGAGCTTTGTGTTTCTGTAGAAATGAGAGGCCAGCAGGGAAGGGTCTTTTTCCACGACACCAACAGCCTGGCTTATTAAAAGAGACTTAATTCTGAGTTGCAGTCCCATCTCTGCCATCATCCAACAGTAAAGACAAGTCACTTACTCTCTCAAGATCTCAGTCTGGGAAGGCCAGGATGAGCAGTTAGTTTATCCTGAAGGGGTCTTCCAACTTCAGAATTCTATGATTTCACCACATTAGACGAAAGGAAATGAGTTTAAAATAAGATTAAATAACAATAATTTCTTGTTCCAGTGTAATAGGAAAATCTTGATTTGCTACCCATTTATTTACTCTGCTCAAAGTACTGAACCCCTTTGTAACTGCATAGTACACTCAACTTGTGTCCACCTGACCTTGTGCAAAATCTGCACATAAACTCTTTAAGGCATAAGCATTGAGCTACAGTTGCCCCTTCCTTCCTTCCCTCCTTTTTTTTTTTTTTTTTGATTAATTGGAATGCTAAAGCCCAATTTATAGCAGCAAATGCTTTAACACTTGTATGCATGCGTGCTTTATTTTGCTCACATTAAAATGTCAAACAGTTTGTTTCTATAAAGGATATATTTTAGCAGGAAACATTTAAAAACGAGGTAAATGTTTTTTCTTAAGCATTTCGTTTGGGCAGTTGTGAGAGCAGTTGTGCTGTTTAGTTGAGATATGGTATTAACTTTAAAGACAGTAGTTTCTATGCTTTGATATGCAAATGATCATCTCATGGCACACATTCATAAGCATAGTGTCCACAGTGTCTTGGGAGGAACCACTTATGCCTGCAATAGAGCAATTGGTGATTACTGAGATGAGTCATAATTTATTCCTGGAGCATACTGTGGTCTTGGTGGCCATCTTTCTTATCTCCTCTGGCACTGAGCACTGTAGCCACTTGTGCGCTTAACGCTTTTAGTCTTTGCAGAGCGTTTAAGTAAACTGCTAGTATGTGTTGTAGGAGCTTGCTGCAATGAAATCTTTTGTTTGGAAGAATTCAAATTTAAATTTGACTCAGTGGCATCCTGATTATTAATTTTCGTTCATCTTCGGTCAGAAGAATGAGCAGCTGTTTGTACTGGATGATCTTGAAGGAACCTTTCAGTTTCATGACAGTGTTCTTTGAGAATCCTTTGTAGAGAACAAGGATTTCAGTAACATTTGGTAGTTTGAGATAAAAAGAAAGTGTTTTGTTTTTTTTTTAAAGAATGCCTATGACTCTTTTTCACAGATATAGCCCTCTGTTATATAAATGTGTGAATCAGTTAGAGATTGTTTTAATTAAATATTTCTTCAAAAATGTGTGTAGAGATAACTTTCTTAATTATTTTAATCTATTTAATCATGGTCACCTTTCAAGTTGCTACAAATTGTTTAAAAAAATTTTTTTAATGCTTATTTATTTTTGAGAGAGAGAGAGAGAGAGAGAGAGAGTGCAAGTGGGGTAGGGGCAGAGAGAGAAGGGGACACAGAATCCGAAGCAGGCTCCAGGCTCCAAACTGTCAGCCCAGAGCCTGACACGGAGCTGGAACTCACATACTGAGAGATTATGACCTGAGCCAAAGTTGGAGGCTTAACAGACAGACTGAGCCACCCAGGCACCCCTAAGTTGCTACAAATTCGAAATAAGTCATTTTACTCATTATTTGTTTTAAAGAGATACTGAATCACAATAATACAGGCTTACAGAATCCCAATTTGTCTTATAGGCACATAGGACCTCGGGTGGCGTGGAGTGTACTTTTACCACCCTGCTTGTAATTTGTTTGCCAAGGTGAATTAGTGTTTGGAAAGATAATGTTTTCATCATTTCTATGCATGCTGATATACAAAATACTCTCGTGGATATATTGCATATCTTTACTGTCATGGATAACATGTAATATCTCACTTTTCTGGTATTTAATCACTTGAGAAATACATTTTGTTTTAGCACCTGTTATGTGCCAGGCACCATTCTAGGTGCTGGGAATGCAATGACAAACAAGATAAAGTTCATGTACCAAAAGAGCTTACCTTTTAATTTGCTAGGCCTCATTAGGGGCTATAGTGTTTCATCATAAGAATTTTCCAAGTATTTAAAACTTGTTTTAATTATTTTGGGTATCCGTCTTTCTGAACTGTATTATGACATTCCCTGTTGTGAAATTTAACCTTTTTATGATGACTCCGTGCTGTCATTTCAAAAGTATTACAGGAAAAGCCTTTGAGGAGATAAGTCCTGGGTCTTATCAGCGTGTAAGAATGATTCTCCCATCTGCCACTGTTCTGGCACTATTTGGCCCTTGAAAAATCAAATTGATTAAGCAGATAGTGGGCTACATCTAATGTGACCAGACTGAATTATGATTTAATAGTTACAGAAAGAACAAGGACAGTCACACTGCCTTCAGTGAGGCACCCTGGTCATGGTCACTGTGTTATTAATCAGTGAACTGTTGTAAATCAGTAGCATGCTGGATAAGATTTTAGGGAACACTGAGTTTGGCTTGCAAGGGTGGCAGTTGAACTCTGAGGAAAGCCATCAACCTCATCCTCATCTTTGCCTGAGAGCCAAGTCTATGATAGTTGTGTAATCTAGTCACTGAATAAACACAAATGAAACGAATGATTGCAGTTTCTAGCATTTCGGCCTGAGTTGGGCAACAGCAGTACAAGGAGAGAGGTATTAGGGGCAATGCAGGCTCTCACTATAGTATGCATCTTCTGTGGAAGAGACTGTACTTCATTCAGCACCCACTTGTGCAAGGGAATTTGCCGAGGCAACTTGTAAGAGATGCGAAAGTTGCACTGCAGAATTAGAGGGCTGAGTGGCACCTGAGAGGTCACCTTTTTCAATCCACTCATTTTTGAGACTGGGAATTTTTTATATTTATTAAAGTGAAAAGATTGGTTTCAGCTTATCTAACTAAAGAGTTAGAATAAAGCGGGGGCTAGAATCCATGTCTTTTAACATTACATCAAAACCCAACTCTGTTCCCTTCAGGAAAAGGGCAGTCATGTTGCATCCAGTATAGGTTATTATTGAGCATGAGTCTCATGGGTTGTTAATGAGAAGGTTGTGAACCAGATTAAAGGTATTACCCCCTATATTTATGCTGAACTATAGATTTCTCCAGAAATCTTTCCCAACAAAGTGGGATTGATGCAAGAACAATTTCGGCAAGGCTTGGCCATTAGAAATTTCATTGTCAGAATGTCACCTTAGAGCCAAGAAAACATGGATGGCAAATTTTGAAATCATACTTTTCTCTGTGATAAAGTAATTTCTTACTAATCTGTTATTTATAATCTTTGCAGGTTGGCAGCCACGTTGGTTTGTTTTAGATAATGGAATCCTGTCCTACTATGATTCACAAGATGATGTTTGCAAAGGGAGCAAGGGAAGTATAAAGATGGCAGTTTGTGAAATTAAAGGTAAGTGAGTGCATGGAATTAGAGAAATTTGAAGTTAGGTAAGGAAAGCATTCTTCACTACAATGCAAAAAGAGGAAAAAAAGCATTTCTAGTCAGGTAGGGATCTTCTAATGCTGTTTATTTCCTTAGCAATTAAGAGTGGCACTTAACATTGTTAAGCACAGTTGGTTTTTTTTTGTTTTTTTTTTTTTTCCCCTCCTTCTATTGAAACTCAAAATCTTAGGGTTAGTTTTCTAATTTGGACCTGAAAAACAATTTTTGTGGTTGCTACTTCAGCGTCCTTATGGAGTCCACAAGTGTTCTCTTTTATACTCATTATAAAATAAGGTATTGTAAAGATAGGAAGCTGAGCTTTAAAGGTGATGAGGTGTGGGGCCTAGCTGACTCAGTCAGTAGAACATGAGACTCTTGATCTCAGGATCATGAGTTCAAGCCCCACGTTGGGCATGGAACTTATTTGAGAAAAAAAAAAAAGTTGAAGATTGTAGAGAGATGGGGCCTAAAGGTGCGGTGATGAGAATTGGAAGCAAGGGGCTAAGACTCTCCAGGAGCCGAAGCACCGGTCCCCTGGCTCGAGCCTCTTTTATTTTTTGCAGTTTGTCTGATAACAGCGAGCACATACAACATAGTATTTGGCATCTGGACAGGTCATGCACCTGCAGTGTATTCCATACTGGGTCATGAGTACATCTAGCGCCAGACAAAACAGTCTTATCCCTGGCCTGGTGCCCATATGATGTCCTTCTGGAGAGACGAGCAGTCCCAGCAGCTTTCTGTTCCTTGCTTTCATTTCCTTGCTGCTCTGTCCCTTTCCTTCAGAACATTCTTACAGTGCCTCCAGCTTCTTCTTCTCCAACAAAAGATGATCAGGCAGGCTCTGCAGGGTTTTGCTAAATGAGTCAGTTTTGCTAAAACATGAAGTCAAAGGCATAAAACTCTGGTTCTGAATCGGAGGTCAGCTCTTCTGGGTGATAGAGATGTTTTCCTTTTCTTTCAAAAGAGAAGAACTAAAGCAATAGGTCATGCTGTAATTTTCATGAAAGAAGGTTTCATGGACCATTGATTCATTTGTGTATGTGGTTGGGTTGTGTGGGGTGGAGGCAGGCAGGGGAGATCAGACAAAATGATAATGAAAAGTACTAAGTTCTTCAGAGAATTGAAGGAAAAACTAAAGCACTAGAGGAGCCAATATCAAGCACCTACAGGCCTTTTTCATTTCTCCTCTATATCTTGAATACTTGTCCTTCATGATGGGTACTTCCTTTGACATGGTGAGTGCTTGGTCACAGCTGTCAAACACTTGAGAGTAATCTTAATGCTCTGTGTATTTTCTTATTTAGATTAAAGCAAAGCAGCAGCTAGTGCATTATCTTATATTTTCCAGGGCCGGATTGCTAGTTTGGTGTAGTTTTGTGGTAGTTCTTAGTACGATTTAGCTATGGAGACAAAATAGAATTTTTCTTTGCTGCACATCTAATTCTTCACATTCGTTTAGGGTTCTTTCCACAGCAGTGATTTATAACTTGGGGTAGATAAGTGTCATGCAGGGAGCTTTCTCCAAAATGCACATAGCTGCCATGTGATTGTAACATGCCCCCTTTAGCTGAGAATTAGTACTGTTCTAATGGAAGGAAGTCATGGCTATCTAAGATACAGAAACACTTCAGCCTAATGTATTGTTATTGCATCGTCCCTGAAATATGTGGGGCATAGTTTTGTTGTTTATTTTAGACAAAAGTACTGAAATGTATACCAATTAAGTATTGGCTTTCCAGGTACTCAGTTTTATATATTTATTTTTAATTGCACCATCATCCCCCATAACTCTTTAGAACTCCTATTTTAGAATTGCCTTATAAACCAGTTTATAAATCACACAAGAAAAGCACAAAGTATGAGTTTTTATTTTTTTAAAAATTGATGGTTTTATCTCATTTTATTCCCCAGATTTGATTCCAAATGATATTTGGTGAGAGTCAGAAATCAAACTACACAGTTCAAAGATTTGCCACCCTTGAGGATATTTAAAAGACTGTTAGTAGCAGAATCCTAAGGCACTTGTAAAATGTTTCAAGATGTGGCAGCATTTTTACTGTTGTTGTTTGTTTGAAGTAATCATTCTATTCAAGAATAAAATACAGAAAAGGGAGCAAATCTTAAATATTCAGTTTGAAGAATGTTTACAAAGTACACACACTTGTGTCACTATCAACCAGATTAAGAATTAGAATGTTGTCAGCCTTTCGGATACAAGGATATTGTCATGTTTCCTCAGCCATTAATCCCTTTAAAAAGTAACCATTAATTTGACTTTTATCACCATAGATAAATATTGCCTACTTTTGAATTTTTATAGATGGAATAAATCAGTATTTTCTTTTGTGTTGGCTCCTTTCACTCAACATTGTGAAATTCATCCATGTTGTTCTGTGTAATAGTAGTTCAGTCATTCTTACTGATCTGTAGTATTTCTGATGTTATAAATATCCCACAACTTTCCTATTCAGTCTAGTATTGATGTGTATTTTGTTTTTGTTTTTGTTTTTGTTTTTCTATTTGGGATTATAATGAGTAAGTAAAGATGCCATAAATATTCTTATTATATCTCTTTTGCTGAACATACATATGCATTTCTATTCAGTATATATCTGGAAGTGGAATGGAATTGCTGAGGCATTGATACTCATACTTTTAGCTTTAACAGAATTAAGGAGAAAATTATTCTTGACACTTTCTAATAAGGCTGACTTTATTCAAGTCTCTCATGATAGGTATAGGGACTACTGCATTGGGCTTTGTAGTAGGGGAGAGAGATTGGGCTCAACTCCAAATATGATAAAGAAAAGTGGGAATTTGCAGCCAAGCAGTAGAGTGGGGGGATTGGTGGATGGAAAATTACTAAGAGGAAACATGAGGGATTAGGGGGCATTCTGGGTAAACAGATTCTTGCTGAAGGCAGGCCAGATATTACCTGGGGGATGTTGGGGCTAGAGGAATTTTTTTGGATATTGAGGGTAATCATATATTGAAGGTGGAGGATTCTGGCTAACTCTGACTTAGCAGAGTTCTTACTAAGATTGGACTCTACAAGGACAGAGAAGGAAGCCCAAGGTCGGGCATAGTCATGCAGAGGGCTCAGAGGAGCCTGACTGAAGTTTGATCAAGGAGAGAATCTTTGTCACAGGTAATGCCAAACTGTTTACCAAAGTGGTTGTATCAGTTTATTCTTGAACTAGCAGAATATGAGTGTTCCAGTTGCTTTGCATCCTTGCCAAAACTTGCATTGTCAGTTTTAAAATTGTGAATATTTTTAGTGTATATGTTGGTATCTGATGGTGGTTTTAACTTGTATTTCTTTAATAACTAATGATGAATAGTTTTTCAGGTATTAATTAGCCATTTGAATGTCCTCTTCTTTTGAAGTGTCCTTTCTAGTCTTTGGCCTAATTTCTAAATTGGGCTGTCATCTTTCATGTTGTTTGTGGGAAGTCCAAATGTGTGTGTGTGTGTGTATGTGTGTGTGTGTGTATACATATATATATATATATATGTATATATATGTACACTATATATATATATTCCAAATACATGTATATATGTATTTTCCATTTGCACACACACACATATTTGGACTTCCCACAACATGAAAGATGACAGCCCAATTTAGAAATTAGGCCAAAGACTAGAGATACATATATATTTTCCAAATATATGTGTGTGTGTGTGTATATATATATATATATATATATGTATTATATATATATATGTGTATATTTATGTAGTCCAAATGAGTCTTTGTATTGTATCTCCTTCCACTTTGTAGGTTGCATTTTCTTTCTGTTAAAGGTATCTTTTGATAAGCAGAAGTTATTAATTTCAATAAAGTCCAGTTTTTCAATATTTTTAATTAGAACTTTTTATGTCCCGCTTAGGAAATCTTTTTTCTTCTTGAAGGCTTATTGTTTTACCTTTTATATTTAAGTCTGTATTAGGTCTGTGATTGACTTAAAATTTATTTTTATATATGGTATCAGCAGGGGTTAAGATTCATTTTTTTCTCATAGGGATATTCAGTTGACTGAGTATCAATTATTGAAAATATCAACCTTTCACCTACTGCACTGTAGGAACATCTTTGTCACAAAGCAAATGACCATGTACATTGGGTCCTTTTCTGGACTGTCTTTTGTTTCATGGGACTATTTCTCTATCCTTGTGCCATTATCACACTGTCTTAATTTCTTTAGCTTTATACTTCTTAGTATTTAATGGTCTAAGTCTTCTAACTTTGTTTTTTTTCAGGATTGTCTTGACCATTATTGGCTCTTTGCATTTTCTTAACACGTTTTAGAATGTGCTTGTAGGGGCGCCTGGGTGGCGCAGTCGGTTAAGCGTCCGAATTCAGCCAGGTCACGATCTCGCGGTCCGTGAGTTCGAGCCCCGCGTCAGGCTCTGGGCTGATAGCTCGGAGCCTGGAGCCTGTTTCTGATTCTGTGTCTCCCTCTCTCTCTGCCCCTCCCCCGTTCATGCTCTGTCTCTCTCTGTCCCAAAAATAAATAAACGTTGAAAAAAAAAATTAAAAAAAAAAATCTGCTTGTAAATTTCCACAACTGTCTGCTGGAATTATGATTGGAATTATATTGAATCTATACATCAATTTGGGAAGAATAGTATTCTTGACAGTGTTGAGTCTTCTGATCTACTAACATGGTGTATTTGTATATTTAATTAGGTTTTTAATTTCAGTAATTTTTTACAGTTTTGCATATAGAGTTCTTGTCCATTTTATCTTGAGAACTTGATGTTTGGGGAGTCTTGTTCTTACGTTTGTTGTCTTAGGTGACTACTTTGTAGGGGACACTCTTGGTTAATACATCAATCTTGGTATGTTTAAAAAGGAGTCATCTTATTTTCATTTGTAGCAGCATCATTGGTAATTAGAGCTTTGTTTTCTTTTAAGGTAGTTATTGATACTTTCACTAGTATTAACAAGCAGCAAAAAAAGAGTTACTCTTGGGGCCTTGGGATTTCAGTAATTTTATCGTGGCTTGGAAATCTTTGCACCCATCATTGATTGTTGCATGTTTGTATATTTCACTATCTACCTCTAAGAATGGCCTTTCTAAATAGAATAATAAGCTAGCAAAGCTTTTGTGGCACTTATTTGCCATAGTACATCTGGTCAATATTTTTGGTAATTAATCATATAAATTAGGGCTTCTGCCAGACTTGCAGAGCCCCTGATAATTTGGCTCAACTCAGCTTGTCCAATTGTGAATATTATTACTATGTAATATAACACAAGGCTTTATTTACTCCTGATACCCTCAGTACATATTATGTTTATTTCCTCATCTAGGCCTTTTTTAATGCAGTTTTTCTCTTAACTAAATCCTACTATTGTCAAATCCTTCTTCAAGAAGCCTTATTTCCCACCTCCTCTCACCTTTCTCCCATCTTAATTACACATGAAGTCACTGTACCAAAGAGTTCATCATTTAGGTGTTTTGATTATTTTTGTTGTGTCAGTTTGTTTCCTTGGTTAAATTGTCAGCTCTGTTAGAGCAAAGACTCGTTTCTTTCTCCCCTTGTGTCTTCCCCCTCTACCAGCACTTCTCTGAGCTGAGTGAATACTTCTTGATTAAGGACAGTGTAACACAAATTTATGCTTACAACAACGATTGAGGATTGGCTCAGTATAATTCTTGGTTAGTTCTCTTTTGTCAGAGTATCAAGGTGGGGGGTGGTTTAGGAGAGGAGGAGGAGGAGGAGGAGGGGGGTGGGAAAGAGGAGAAGGTCTCCAAAATACTCACACTTTCTAGGTGATTGTGATGTGCCCCTTAGTTGAGGGCTGCTGTTCTAATGGAAGATGGCCATAGGTACATTTATTCATTTATTTATTGTGCTGCTTCTGTATGCTAGGCACTATCCTAGGCCTGGAGGATACTAAGACGTAGAGTCTGTTTTCAAAGAAATCAGTAAAAAAATGTGTGGTAAGTGTGACAGTGCGTGTGTATTTAAAGTAGTATAGGCAGCCCCAAGAGAGGGAGTTTTTAGTTTTCATTGCTGTTTTCTCTTCCTCTTGCCATCACCACTTTAGCACCTCTGCCAGCATGAGTAGATGTGAGAAGGTGGTTTTGAGGGTGCTACTAGATAGCCCTTTAGGGAAAGTCCATGCCTGCATCTTGAATCTCAGTTTCTTGTTGTAGGTGTCTGTAACATCTAATACTGCGTAAGAGTGATTGTTTGATTCTCCCCAAATTACTTAAGTTCATGACTGTATTTCTCCTGTGTTTATCATCATAGTCCATTCAGCAGACAACACAAGAATGGAATTAATCATTCCAGGAGAGCAGCATTTCTACATGAAGGCAGTGAATGCAGCTGAAAGACAGAGGTGGCTGGTTGCTCTGGGGAGCTCCAAAGCTTGTTTGACTGATACTAGGACTAAAAAAGAAAAAGGTAACTATAAATTTTTCTTTGGTGGTGAGAATATTTTCTTAAACATAAATGTTAATTGTCTTGTCTACTTTTAGGAATCTAGCCTCAAGAAATATCAGAAATGTAGATGAAGATTTACGTGCATGACATTCATCATAGTAAAAAAACTTGTAAACAATGCAAAAATTTAAATTTAGGGGAATGGTTCAGTTACCTCTAGGCTGGAATAAGCTGCTATGTAGCCAGTAAAATGTTTGCAAGGAATTTTAATAATGTGAGAAAATGCCCAGTGTTAAATGATAATTGTAGAAAAGCAGGATTCAAAATTACATATCCATTCATTGGCCAGCTCAGGAAAGATCTATGAAATCAGTCAAGTTGTTACCTTTGGAAAGGTAATTTGTGAGAAGGAGACTCACTTTTTACTGTATATACCCTTTGGTACCTTTGATTTTACCATGTTCATATATTGCCAACTCCAAAGGATTAAACAGAAATCAAAAGCAAAGTAAATAATTTATGGTATTAATTCAACCGTATGCAGATACAGTGCAAAAATAATAAAATAATTTATGTCTTGCCAGTGAGTTTGCGGTTGTTTTGATTTTTCTTTTCTATATATATTTTTTGATTTTCTGAAAGTTTTCATTGAGTGTATATTACTTTTTATAATTAAAAATGATAGAAGTTATTTAGATTAGTGACAATGACTGAATTATGGGTATTGAAAATGAAGGTCCAGAATTGAGTTTATAATCCTTGAAAAACATATGAAAGAACATCATGCATAGAGTATGGCTACAGGTAGGATAAGAAGGAATGGAAATTCATAATAGCCAAAAGATAAAAACAACCCAAATGGACATAGACAAAGAAATAGGTGAACAAAATGTAGTATTATACATACAATGGAATATTATTCAGGCTTTAAAAGGAAGGGAATTGAGACACATGCTACAATGTGGGTGAATCTTAAAAGATAAGTAAGTGAAATAAGCCAGTCACAAAAGGACAAATACTGTATGATTGTACTTACTAGCATACCTAGAGTAGTCAGAGTCACAGAGACAGAAAGTAGAGTAATGGTTGAAGGGGCTAGGGTGTGGGGAAGATGACAGAGTTCTGGAGATGGATGATGGTGTGGTGATTGTAGGACAATGTGAATATACTTAATGTCACTGAACTATACACTTAAAAATGGCTAAAACAGTAAATTTCATTACATATTTTGCACTACAATTGAAAGAAAAGAGGGAATGGACTTAAATTTGAGTAGAACCTAATTTAGGCTAGGTCAAATAAGCAGATAGAGCTTGTTTGGTCCACTGTGGCCAGAGTTGCTTTGTGGCTAGTATCACTAGCCACTGACTAGTGGCTCAGGGAATATGGAAAAACGCCAGGATCTGCTACGTGTATTTTTCCTTACTTCTGCTGTTTATATTTCTAGTTTAGAATGAATTGTATGGCTGGATGTTTAGTGTGTCTGGACGTATTAAATAAAAGAAAGTAAGCTCTTAATAAGACAATTATGAAAACAATATAATGTGAAAATGAAGTTATGAAAGGAACAGAAGAAAGCAGATGTTTAATACAGTAGTTTTAATGACATAAAAATTAAAAACTTCTCTGCGTTAAAAGGTACAATAAAGAAAGCTGAAAGAGCAGATAGAACTGGAAACATACTTGCAGTATATAGGACAGAGGAAAGATTGCTATCTTTAGTGTGTAAGAACTTTTATAGATTAATTTGTATATTATTAAGAGAAAAACTGAACATCAAAATTGGAAAAATATGTAAAGGACAGAAAAGACAATTTACAAAAGAAGAAATATAAAGCACTTTTCAAATGAAGAATGAGCAATGGAATGGAAATGTCCTGTATAAAACATCCAGTGGTCATCATCTTGCATCTGGAAATTAATCTACCTAAGCTTCATGTCAGACATATGACTTCTATTTTTTCCCCAATTATTTGAAGAGAGGGTATTTTGTCAATATCCTTGTATCTGTTTCCAAGGGCCCACACCTCTTAAGCTATAGGTATTTATATCTATTCATATAGGTATTTATTATCTATTGCATTACTTTTAAATGATTCCATTTTGTTTTATTGCTGAAAGAATATGAAAACAATCTGACTGAATGTTTATATATATTCCTTTCAGAGATAAGTGAAACCAGTGAATCTCTGAAAACCAAAATGTCTGAACTTCGTCTCTACTGTGACCTCCTAATGCAGCAAGTTCATACTATCCAAGAATTTGTTCACCATGATGAGAATCATTCATCTCCCAGTGTAGAGGTATATATACAAAGATGATCCCTTCATGTCTGATTATGCTTTGTAATACACTGGTGGGTGAGGTTCTTCTCATAAGGTGGCAGAGAAGCATTTTCAAAATGAGCTATCTTTAGCTCTTCTGGGCAATCCCTACTCCAGACTCTGGAAATCTCTAGGATCTTCTAGATTGTATCTGTGCAACCAGAGTAAAGCAGGAAGCAGCACACTGCCCCAGGGAATCAAGGCTTATTTAATCAAGGGAATCAGCCAGTCTGATAATTTGGAGGTTGGGGTGGGGAAGAAGCATTCCAGGCTTTGTTCTCTGGGCTAGCTGAATGAATCATTGGACAGCTGCTCTTCTCTTTCTTTTTGTGACGAGGTCCCAGTTTCTATGACTCAGAGTTGATAACTTAGCTTTGTCAAATAACTTTTTAAAAAAGTCCTTCTCAGAACAGTAATGCAGTAGTCAAATTTCGAATTTGTGGGACCTGGCTATGAAATAGGTTCACACTTTCTGATAAAGGAGGACCAGCGGGCCCTACTGTTCTCTGGGTGAAAAGTCAGCATGGTTCCCAGTCACCTTTTACCTAACTTAGGAGAAACGGGACAAGAAATTTTCCTACTTCTGTGGCCTGCTCCTGGTGGGGAACAATCTTATGTGAGGTCATATTTAGTTGTAGGTACATTAGACCCTCAGGGCACTCACTGTTTCACCACAAGCTCTCTGGAGGTGGGTGCCCTCACATTTGCTCCAGCGGCTCAGTGACAATATCAAGGACCTGGTCTTGCTCCAGCCTTCCACTCTGCCATTCTTGGTGTGTTGGATTTGCCCCCTTATGTGCAAGGCCAAGGTCATACAGAGGCAGGAGGCAGTGGGGTAACCAGGGTGGAAAGAGACTTTCTTTTTTTTTTTTTTTTAATTTTTTTTTTTT